TTATAAATTTAACCCTTATCCTCATCCTTCGTCCTCTCCTGTAAGACCAACAGTCTCCATATCCTCACTGTATTCACTAAGCCATGCACACATTTAAGAAATTCAATCAAATTTGATTTCAGTCACTAAACTTACTAAACCCACCCACATATACTGTTTCACTCTGAAACACAGTTTAGATTTTTGTATTATACTGCACTTGTAAGAATGGTCCAGATGCAATATTAAACATTTCTGGATATTTAATACCTTTTTAAATATAAATATATTTTATTTAACAAAATTTGAGTATTGTGCACCACTTGTGCAGGTATGTGCTGTCTGAGTGCTTATAGTTTAGTCTTTAGAGTAAATCTGATTCAGATTGGTGGGAGGTCCGGCACTTACTGTATGCCCCTTCCAGTTAAGCTGGCTTTCTGTCTTCATGACTACGAATTCACACAGTACAAGGGCCCTGTGTTTTCACTTTTTACCAAACAGACCTAAATAAAGCATTCTCTCAGAGATTTGTGGCCTGTGATGAACAGACGGGTGGGACTGTGGGTGGGGGTGGTGGGGTGGTAGCATTACATGTAGGTAAATGCCGGCATATTTGAGATGGTAATCCAGGATAAGTCTCCAGTTGGCTGTTGACCAAACATTCATGCGTAGCACAATAGGTTTTGGCTGGGGTCCAATAGTGGACTTAGCTCTTGGTTTGACGGTGAAATCCATTCTGACTTTTTTTGGAAAGGGTTTTGATAATTAATGTTGGATGGATTGCAGAGAAAAGGAGAGGAAAAATGTGTATAAAGGGTTTTTTCCACCATGTGCTTGGTTTTGTGAATAAATTCGGGGATAGCCCTTAACCCCCACCCTGCTTGTAAAAGTTTTTATCCCCCTGCTGGATTAACTTTTACAGCCTCTCTGTCTCTTAAACACTTACTCTTTTTTTGTTGCTGCTCATATCTCCAACACCCTCCTCCCCAAATCTGTCTCTAATATTTTCATATTCTCCTTTCCCACGGGACAGCAGTTTGGGTGGGAGGGTTGTTTGTACTGAGTGTACCAAACACTGCTGAAGTGCTCCTGAGCAAGGTCACTTAGTATAGTGCATAATGTATTTGCATCAGTCTGCTTCTAGGAAAAGAACTGGAAAAGTTAGACAAGAAATAAGTGATAAAAGCTTTTCCCTGGCTTGTTATAAATAAACTCTATAAAATATCTACTCCACTTGGAAAGTTATGTGAGGAGAAAAAAAGAAGGAGACTGTATAAAGAAAGTTAATTCAATGTGCTGCCCTTTTGGAGGAACACTTTTCAACACGAGGAGGAACTTAAGGACAGCACTATATCTACCTTGATGGCATGGAGTGTTTAGAAACGTTTGAAAGACATTTCTCTGCATAATGTTTATATAGCTTTAAATTTCCCTTAAAGCTAGAGTAGGTAACTTTGAAAAAAAAGTAACTTTTTGCCATATTTGCCGAAACCTTCACTATATCCTGAGAGTAGTACCTGAGACAGATAATCTTAAAAAATAAAGAAATCGGGTTCCTCTGGTTCCTCCTAGTGCTCTTGACAAGAATCCACTGTGGCTGAATGAAAACAACCAATCAGAGCCAGTGCACACGCTGCGCAGCCCCTCTCTCTTGCGCATGCTCTCCCTCAGTTAAGCTCTATATTTTCCCGCCGCACGGTTTCAGGAGGAGCTTTGCAAACAAAATCAACCATCACTCCTTGGCCAACAACAGCATATACTGCAAAACACGTGTGTGATCGTGTCCCAGCTCCATACTGAGGTTGCAGACTCATTGTGATTGATGCCATGGCACTCATATCAAGAGACATACTAGCCTCTCATCCCGCTGTTAGACTGGGTCAGAGCTGCGTCTGGGGTGCTTTGCTCTGAGGCCATGAAGCGCTGGAAGGGTGTCTTTGAGAAGACAAGTTGTGGCGAGACGGGAGGAGACCAGGGTCTTGGTGAGGCTCGTGGAGAGCGAGCCCTATGATGAATGAGCTTTTGCCGGGCAGCTATGGGCTGATATTTGTGCTTGGGTTCAACTTGTGGGTTTGGTGGGAAGAGCTTAGCAGAATGATAAAAGCAGCAGAGAGAGATTGTGTAAGTTCAAATGTTGTCTACTGTTTTTGTACTTGTTAATGTGTTTTGTCTTTTGGCATACCACTTTAACACATTAATGTAGGCTTGTACATATAAATATTTGTGCTCATGTATATGGGCATGTAAGTATACATAATTCGACACATTTGTAGTTATTGCTTGTTTTCTTTCTCTAGCACCAGGGGTGTTTAGATCACAATAATAATAATTGCAGAAACATGTAAACACACCAAATACTTTATGGAACCATGGAATTATTGCAATATATAAGTTTACAGAGTTATAATAGCAAAAATCTAATCTGAAAATGACAATATCTGATAAAAAGAAAAGAACACATATACACGAAACATATTTAACATAAACAAAACTTTTGAAGCCACATCCCATTCACTGGTACGCCCCAGTGGAGCTCTCAAAAAGGACACCGTTTCAGATAGCGCTGGCTAGCTAGTGTAGTCATCAAGCCTCTAGAACCAGATTAAATGTGCAGATTATTTCGCTGGGCCACTTTCTGCTGTGTCTTTAAACCAAAACTATGCTTTTCCAAGAAAATGTTACTTGTCTATTTTCAAAGTTGAACTTCCTCCTCTCTGTAACAGTCACAGTTGAAAGTTTGACAGCAGGGAGCTTGACTGAGTCAGAGAAAGACAGAGAGCCACAATGGAAGAGGAAAAAAAGGAAGAAAGCAGAAGACAGAACAGAACAAGTGGGACGCATCAGAGCTGCTGCCAGGAGGAAGTGACAGCATCAAGGCACGAGTGTGTCGCCATTCAAGATCCGAATCGGTTCTGACCCATTTCCCTTCCATCATTCCGGTGCTTTGTCTGTGTGTGTGTGTGTGTCGGGTGCACTGAAGCCATTCAGGGGGGAGATGGAGGGAGAGAGACAGAGTTGGATTTCTGTTGTGATGGTATTAGCCTCTGTCAGGCTAAATGGGCTTTAATTGGTGGAGTGTTTGGTCCAACACAGCCTGGATTTTACACACACACACACACACACACACACACACACACACACATACTCACAGTCACTCCACTGTTTTCTTTCATCCAAATAGGCTTCATCTTAGTATCAACATGCTTATTATCTCTTCTCTCTTTCAGTTTTTCATCTTTCTTTCCCTACTTTTTTCTCCTCTCTTGGTCTTTTACATTTCTTTTTTAATGACTGTGTGTGTGTGTGTGTGTGTGTGTGTGTGTGTGTGTGTGTGTGGGTTGTGTGATGAATGATATTGGGTAAATTGGTGAGCATGTGTAAGTGCATGAGAAAGTGAGAGTGAATGTGTACGTGCATGTTTGAATGCTTGAGGCTGGATTTCCAGATTCCAGTGCTGCTTTATGAAGCTTTAGCTTTGGAAAGTCTTTTACATTCCCTCAACAATGACCTTCACTAACCCAAAGAAACGGATAAATGCAAACTGTTTTGCATGTCTCAGACTCAGTTCATAGTCCGAGTTAGTGTTGTTGCATGTTTATGCTCATGAATTACAAATTCCACATATTTAATACTATTGCCAACTATAACTATCCAATTTCCTAATTTAGATTGAGATTCAAGGTGGTCATTGATTTCCCTTCATTTCAGTAAGTAGATGAACTTTCACTGACTGGTGATCTATCTATGGTCTGTCCTGCCTCTCCCCTGACGTGTACTGACTTCCACCGTCCTTAAGCACTGGTTATGTAGATAATGGATGCTTGTAAATGAACTTTCAGTGTTCTTGAAACTGTACTTGAGATCGATCATCTATCAGCGCACTTTTAGTCAATTTCAGGTTCTGTCATTGCTGTCTTTATGGTTAAAGGAACAGACAGTACGGTATGTGAACAGTGGTGTCTTGTGGTGAGGTTTTGGGGTTGTACAAAATTGTCACGCTCCTTCCACTTTTGCTGCACGACAACCACAAGAGATCAATATCAGTTAAGGGACAAATAAGGCTCTTGTTTGGACAAACAACCTAAACTCGTTTATTTTCTGATCATGTTAAGCCATTGGAAAAAGGGCCCATTTTGCCTATCGCAGCATCAGATGTTGAGGAGTCAGAGACAAAGCTTTATTTTACTTTATCCCAGAGATTCCTGTCACCACACCCCATGGGAAGCTCTTCCAAATCTTTCATTCTAGTATGGTTGACCCCCTGACCTTGCACATAACACCACCATCATGGCCAACATTTTCTCTCTCTCTCTCTCTCTCTCTCTCTCTCTCTCTCTCTCTCTCTCTCTCTCTCTCTCAGGGCAGCCAGTCTCTGGTCTGGACACTCATTAATGAGCTTTATTACACAGCAATTAAACACTGACACAGTCACTAACCTGCCCCCCCTCCCACACAGACACACACACACACACACACACACACACACACACACACACACACACACACACACACACATAGAGTTAGGTGTTAAAGAGGATAATTTCAGGGAGAAGTGGGACTGCTGACTATCAGAGCAAATAATTAACAAATAATTTTAGGTATAGGTTATAAATTAGCCTCTATACAAACAGTTAATTACCAGAGAGTGACTCAGTCCTTAGTGGTGTACAAGATTACAGTTTATCCTCCTCCTCCTCATCATCATCATCATCATCAGTATAATAAACTCCAAAATCCTATCCTTTTTTTTATTGATCATGAAAATCAAAGGTGAAGTACAAACTGACATATGTAAATGTATCTGAGGATCATAAAACATTTCCCAACTTCCTTCCAGTAAATTGCTCGGAGAAAGTTGAGTGAAAAGTTGTGTGAAGTTGTAATATGTGATGAAATTGAGCAGTTAGTTGTGATATTCAGAAACAAACGAGTCTCCTACAATGTGCCTACAGGCTATTATGTAGAGCGCGCTCGCAGTTGAGGGCCACGGGAACGCGCACGGCTATATCCTGTGACTGAAAGCATCCCGACTTCATTCACCCCGGAGATCACACGACTGACGTGAACTGACATCAAACTCCTCTGAGCTGCAGGGTGGAGAGTTTCTTTTCTTGTTTCGTTGATGCCGTTTGCCTTTTCCTCGGCGTGTTCAGGACTGAACTGGTTATTTCTGGAAGTTTAAAATTAAAAAGATTTAGCCAATTGTAATGATTTGCCCATATAAAGTGCCAAAATGCTCCACCGCTGCAGGACGCACAACTGTGTGATTTTGAAGGGATTACACTGAGGACAAAATGATGGATATGGCCGGATGTGTGAATGTAAAAGAGAGGTTTTCACATTTCCGTTGGACACCTGTTCTTTTGATGAGCTGCTGAACATCAACTTGACCTCAGTTAGGTTTGATTGTTTGATGCTTCAAACTACTGGACAAAAGGTTGTGCAACTGTGAGCGTCCTCCTGCAACTCGGACTTACACTGCGTATGCTTTGCGTTCGTTTTAACATTATTTTGGAAATCAGCTCCTCTCTTAACTACAGTGGCAGGAGCAGAACAAGCTCGGCTCTATCATTTAACCGCTGTTCATTCCGGAATTTAAACATCATCTGAAGCGTTAGGGTCTCTGGCTCGCTCTTTCCTTGAGGTCGTGGGGGTGGCCAGTTCTCCCGAGGGATGTTTCTGGGCTCCCGAGAACAGTGGACCTTCGCCTCGTCCTGGTGCCTATGCAGCGGATCTGAGAGGAGATGAGAGCTGCGCTGTACCACCTCCTCGCCGGTTGCCTCTGCCTGTTACGCACCGCTGCTGAGGTAAGCCGCACAGAAATATACTCATACAGAAATATAAAATAACCGCAGCACATGCAACAGGTGAATTCGTTCTGCGTAATTACGCACAAATAACTATTTTGGTTCAGATAGGCACGAGTATTGTCCTTTAAAACTTCATATATGTTTGCAAGTTTGCCCACACTGAGTTACTTAGTTTGGAAATTAGTGATTATTGCATGATTCTGCGCTCTTTACGCACCAACAGGCGCAGCTTTGTATCTCCATACCCAATAAAGCGGCTCATCGACTGACTTTCCTCCCACAGGAGTCCCCTCTCCCCCGGGAGCTGCTGGAGCGCCTCTCCCGCAGCGAGATCCGCAGCATCAGCGACCTCCAGCGGCTACTAGAGATAGACTCCGTAGGTAAAGCCCTTCTTTATAATACAACTCTGTCACTCCCACATGCTGGATTAGTGATCCTTACCGCAGAATGAGGTTATCAGCGAAAAATTCAGTTCATATATAACGTTTGTTATATGAGCACCATAACGCGCAAATACCTGCTCAGCAGTTTTTCAGGGTAAAGGATTATTATGAGGATGAAATGTATGTTAACTTGTGAAATCAGTAGTTCCATTTTATTTTATCATTTCATTGACAGAAACAGAAAAGAACAAAGAAATACGTTCCTGTAGCTTTACTACAGGAACGTACTCCTTACTGGGTCCTAACTCAGCACTGCTGACAGACATCGGCCCACCATAGGCTTCCATGTGCCAGTCAGGGCTCCTGCGTCTCTCCCCGTCTGTGCCTTAAAAGACATTGAATTGAGGTATTAGTTGCATCTGGTTGCACAGTAAGAGGATGCTTTCCTCTTGTCTCATTACTGGAATGCCTCACCGGATGTTGCTAGGAGACCAGGCCTGTCTTGCTCTTTACACCCTGTGTGAACTCTTGAGACAGAGTCAAGTCTGTGCTTATCAGCCACTGCCAATGGTAAACTGGGAATAAGGTGTACGTTTGTAAAGAAAATGTTTGTTTAAAAGGGCATTCCACCAATTTTCACACATCAAAATCAGTTTGCTGGTCATGTTAAGGACAACTCAACCCGTGAAAACAGTTGTACATGGTCCGCTGTGGCTCTGGAGGACCTTTGTGAAGTCAGATAAAAGCAATGATGTCATAGTGATGTCAGCAGGGTTATCTCCGTGGGTCTTGGAGAGTACGTTTGTAATGGGAAGCATGCGTTAGAAACTGCAGTGGGTATGGTGTTTAAAAGATGTGAGCATTTACTAGGCAAAAAGGGTCTGATGAAGAGAGAGTTGCATTATGGGAATTGTATTGTGTTTATGGTGTTTTTCCACACCAAAGACTAAAAGTTGGGGTATCTCGACTTAAACTGCATTGTTTCCCTCAAGTCTCAAGTTTATGACGATGATCTTGGTTGTGCTCTGTAACTAAACGTCCCACTGGTGAGTTTTTCTTCAATCAGAGGAACCCATTTACTGGACAAAAGGTTGTGCAACCTTTGCCTCCTACCTACCTTGATCCCACGCACTGACAGCGCCCCCCACAGACACACACAAATACTGGAGAGTTAGCCTCTCTGAGCCGCTAGCTCAGCTACAACACAGCCGCTAGCTTCGAGTGACTGTAAAATCTCCCGTGGATTCTATGTTTCCAGCGCGGACACGGAGAGTCTGACAGCAGCTGCTCATTAGCTCTTAATAACAGCTCGCTGTTTGTGCTACGCTGCTGTGGTCAGTCTGCCAGTCACTCTGGTCGGTCTCGAGGCCACGCCCCCTAAAGTCACTGTTCTTTGCAGCTCAATGATGCATTTTTTTAATTTGCTGAGAGGGAGGGAGCTGGCAGAACTGAAGTGTGTAGTTACACAGTCCACATGAAACGGAAAGCAAGTTATACATAAGCAGCACCCATCACATTTTGTTTTACAGGAAGAAAAAACGATTTGATTTTCTTATAAGAATTCAAAGAAATTTGGTTTGCCATACATTTTAGGCGTAAAATATTTTTTGTCATTTTCAGTTCATCTCGACTTTAAAGGTTGAGAAAAAATTTCGATGAAACTTTAGTTTTGATTTAATAAACGTTTCTATATCAATGTAGACATTACATTCAGTTTTTATTTTGCTTCCTGTGTCCTGACCAGAAAAGATAATCCCTTTAAAAACATTTTTCATATTAAAAACATATTGGTGATCTTCCTGTCATCCTTTTGTGGCATTTTTCTGAGCATGAAAAGCAGTTAAATTTAATATGCAACTGAAATTTAAGTTACGCAATTATATGCCAGATTGCACTTTCCAGGTAATAAATCAGAACTGAGTGAATCAGTGAGGTGAGACAGGAGGAAATAACTGTGGCATAAAACAGGCTTTATTGCATTTACGCCCCAAGTCAGACTCTAAATTCCTGCCACACAAACTTTATTCATCTCTGAACTTCTCGTTGCCTGTGAAAAATAGTTGATTCATTTTTTAATGTCTGCCGCTCCGAGCGGTGCCACCATTAATCCTGGCATCATTGAGATGCAAATGCCGAGTGTGACGGCTCCCCGGCTCGGTGGGGGTCAAGTGGCTCACTTCATTATGCTGTTGTCATGCTGCCCATTATTGGTTTGAGAGCAGGGCCCGCTGGAAGGCTGCTGTGTTGCTATGTATAATTCATGCTCAAATTCCTGCATGTCAGGGCGAGAGAGAGAGAGCGAGAGACACAGACACACACAGAGAGAGAGAGAGAATTGTTGAAGGTGGACTTTGTTGTGTTTTAGAAGCACATTGTGTGTGTATAGGCAGGCGTGTGTGTGTGACTGCTTGCACACACAGATGGCAGGGTGCTCTGCATGCAGGCCGGAGTGACGGGTCCACATGCACACACACACACACACACACACACACACACACACACACACACACACACACACACACACACACACACACACACAGAAGCACACACAACACACAAAGAAGTGTGAGGTTTGGTATTCAGAATCAAATTAAAACAGCCCTGCCCAGACATCATTTATGCTGATTTCCGGGAATCTTTCTCTCTTTTTCTCTCCCTCTCTTACACACACACACACACACACACACACACACACACACACACACACACACACACACACACACACACACACACACACAAACACACACACACACACACATTGAAGTTCACACTACACACACAAACTCAGCTCCTAATTTATTGGCTATGAACGAGTGTGTGGATATCCTGTGGTTTGGCAATGCTAAGTGCTGAAGTGGTTTGATGGATCTGTGAACACTTTAAAAACACTTGATTGACTTTTACGGCATCTCGTGATAAACAGACACAAAGACACAAAGGCAGAGCTCAGTATAAGAAGCTGCCTGTGGAGGTACAGTAACTCCTCTTGTGTTAAATCATCACTAAATTAAATATAACCATCAGCTTGGATTTTTCCACCTGTCATAGTTTAAGATTTATTTATTTGCTTCCATTAAACAGAAGCCATCAGTCATAAAACAGACTAGAAGAACTATTTATTGTATAAATTGTGTTTTTTTATGATGCTATAAATAAATGCATTTACTGCTTCCATTCATTCTCTTATTGTTGCTTTTTGTCCCCATGTGGCAGCTGAGTTCCCACAGTGTTACATGTTATAAGACCACATATACTCAGCACACAGTCATGGCACTAAGGAACAGTCTGAAACATTTTAACAACCTGTTAACTGATTGTGTGAAAACAGCCTTTATTCATCCCTTCGGGTTGAGTTTAAATAGCACGTGTGAGTTTTAGGATTAGAGATAAACATTTCTGGTTTGGCTACATTTTGAAACAATCAATCAAACCGTTAAATGCTCCAATGAGTCATGGTATCAGCCTGGAGGTTTGTAACATATGGTTTATATATTCTTATTATTTGTCTTATGTGTTTTATTATGTTTTTGGCTCAAGTCTGTGTGTGTTTTGTGCTTCACTTGGCAACAAAATAAACTTCTCCTTGGAGACAATAATGTTGAAGTTGACACTGCTACCACAAACCTGTTTTCTTTAGGTTGAACTGACCAATGTATTCAGAATGAAAAGTGTGTTAACATAGCAGCAACAGCAGTTGTTCTCCCATTGAGTCTCACTCCCTGTGACAGCCTCACAATCCTTGACTTATACCAATAATATTTTGAGTACTGATTAAATAAAATGTCTCAATTAAACATGAAGCTGTGAATCAGCATTTCTCTATAGGAGGACATATGTATTTGGTACAGAATCAAGTATGAAGGTACCAGTATACTATATCAGAAGTGCTTGATGGATGACACCTTTCCAAAGACAAAATTACAAACAATTTCTGTAACTTTATGTAACAGACCTGAAATTCATATCCACTTCATGCTGTGATTGGCCAGCCGTGCAGAGGTTAGAAAGCCGGGAGGGTTTGAACTCTTGTTTCAGTCTTGACCAAACCCTCCGCCACTTTTCATGTGTCCAAAACAAGTGAAACATTCAAACTGTCTTCCAGGAGAGATGGTTTCAAAACTATGCGCCATTATCCCCATATTTAAACAATTATCGCATCTTGCCTCTCGGCTTTTCACTCCTCCTTGACACTCGAAGGCCACACTGAATTTCAAGCATACCCCGGCCCCGTAGTCAAAGACAACATGCAGCATTTTCTCAGCTCTAGCATTCTGACGACCTATGAATGAACTCCTGATGAATTCGATTTAAAATGTATCAGATATATGCACTGACACGCCGTGTTTCTAACTGGCTACGTTTACATGCAGAGAACTCAGTAACCTGTTGACAGTTATTAACATCATAACTTAATTATAATAACCTGGTTAAGCAAGTTCTCTGATCACGACAGACTTGATAAAGATTTCCGTAATAAACAACTTGCTGCAGCGTGTAAACATCCTCCTTTTTATGGTTGTTATCGGTCAGTCAGTCAGTCATCAAGATATTCTGCGTAGATATTCGTGCTCCCCAGTGGTTTTTTAATGTTTTGACCTTTTTCATACCTAAATTTAATCTTGTGCACAGGAACAATCCAGTCTAATGAGAAATTAGCGTGTGTGTGTGTGTGTGTGTGTGTGTGTGTGTGTGTGTGTTTGACAGGGATCTGGGAATATTTATGAATGGTGTTGTTAACAGTGAGAGTGTGTGACGTCTGAATGTGCGTATGTTGTTTTGTCTCTATCCAGATAACGAGGTGATCGAGGAGACCAAACACAGCTACCACAAGGACTTCTCTCACAGCTTCCCCGACCTGAAGAGAGCACACACACAAACCAGACACAGGAGGAGCACTGGTAAGACCCACACACAGATTCACACCATCAAGGTCTAAGAAATGGAAACACATTGGCTAAATGTACAAATATGCTCTACATATTATTACTCTTGCATATTATCCTGTGTAATAAAATGTTAACCCTTTAACCCCTATCATCATGAAGACAACATGCAGTATATTTTCAGTGGTTGAATGGTTTTACTTCAGTAAAAGGACAAATATAATATAATATACATAAATGTCCAGCATTCAAAATCCTTCTTAAGTAAATGTATAAATGTATTGACAAGTAAAAGTATTTGGTCTGCATAAAAATGCTCCCTGTGCGTGATGTACTATATGGTAGAAGGGTGTAGCATTGACCAAGGAATACTCCATTACATTTTGGAACAGATCTGAAACACAGGGTGGATACTACAATCATTTCTGTTAACATTATGAGATAGGTCGATTGTAATGCTGTTGTCTATGGCAAAATGAACTGAATTCGCACACATTTTATTTGTAAAGTAGCTAATAACTAAAGCTGTCAAACCAAATCTGAATGTAGTGGATTAGAACAAGTATAAAGTAGCATTAAATAGAAATTCTCAAGTAAAGTCCCTCAAAATTGTACAGTACTGTACTGGAGTAAATGTACTTAGTTACTTTCCACCACTGTATATTTTTAGATGTGAGTTATATCCTCTGCCTTGTCGGAACGTGCTCTATAGTTCTAGGTCAAAAGTGATAATGCCATATTTGCCCTTAAGTGCTCTTTTCTGCTGAGTTTCTGTAAACATTGACCTTTTTTGTTCCCCTGCAGTGGTGGAAGAGGCCTTGCCGGCGGTGTGCAAGGTGCGGACAGCAATCTATGAGATCCCCCGGAGCCAGGTGGATCCCACCTCAGCCAACTTCATCATTTGGCCGCCCTGCGTCGAGGTGAAACGCTGCACTGGCTGCTGCAACACCAGCAACATGAGATGCCAGGCATCACGCAAGCACCATCGCATGGTCAAGGTACAAAACAATGTTTCTACTGTATATATGTCTGAAAATGCATGCTTATACATGGGCATTTGCGGCATAACAACTTTTTAAATATCCTATATACAAAATTCACTGCCACTAGACTACAGCACCAGCATCACCGACCACCAAACTCCAGCCCACCAGACTACATTGACAAAAACTGTAATTTTACATGGCAGATCATCATAAAACATACTTTATTTAAACTAGACAGAGACAAAATAAAAACCATCTTTGTTAGTCTTTCCACTGTTCCAACAATCACCAACTCTTTGGTCAGAATAAACCCATAATCCACTCAAAGGTCCAGTTTTCTTCAGTAGCTTTTTTTGTCACTTGAGACCAACAACTTCAGATATGAACAACTTAAGGTAAAAGCGCTGCCCACTTCCAGTATGAAAGTAATAAACAAAAACAAACAAAAAGGCAGTACAAGAGACAGAAACGCTGCTTCCTAAACTTTCATTCTCACCATTCCATCATGTTGGCACATTCAGTATAAACACTTTGTAAGAGGCTTCTGTTACTTGTCTTTTAGTGCCCCGACACACACACACACACACACACACACACACACACACAAAACTAATGATGGCACAGAGCATGTAAACACACAACCACTTAACCATTTACTGGAGGTATACACTCTACACCTGCCAAAAACAATTATTCTCTCCAGCTTGACCATTGTGTTTGTGTGTGTGCGTGTGTGCGTGTGTGCGTGTGTGCGTGTGTGTGTGTGTGTGTGTGTGTGTGTGATTGAGTGTCTGGCAGTGAGTTAGTTCAAGAATATAATAGCCTCCTTTTGATCTCTGCCAGAGTTGGAAACAAGACTCAGTAAACCCCAATTGGTTCACACAACTTGCCAACTGGCAGTTGACCCAAGGTGAGCGAGTGTGTGTGTGTGTGTGTGTGTGTGTGTGTGTGTGTGTGTGTGTGTGTGTGTGTGTGAGTGTGTGTGTGTGTTCTGCACTCAGGAAATGGATCTTAAGATTCTTAATCGTGAGAACAGCATTATTAACTTGGTATTAATATTCATTGTGTATATCAGAGCATGTGTGTACAGGATGTTTGATTATTAATTTCACTGATTGACTGATATGATTACATAATTATTATGGTAATTCCATTTGCAGCTTATCTCTCACATGTGTTCTATGGTAATTAGACAAAAAAAGCCTACATGTTAAGATAATAATTGATAATAATAATGGTAAATAGGAGAAATAAGAAAAGGTATTTGTGTGTGTTGCCAGAGGTGGAGAGGTAAAAAGTTGAGGAAGAAAAAGAGGGGCCGAGTTTGATTCTCTGTACTTTGGACTGCTGATACCCAATCTGAGATGAAAGGGCTTGTCCTTTGTCTGCTTACAGAGGAAATCAAAAATAAAGTCACTCACATGTGCTGAGATTCAGCGTTCAGAGGGTAAACGGTCATGGGTGCAAGATGCACTCACACGCAGCCAGAGGGGAAATGGCAGGGCTGAGGTTTAAGTGGTGTGTCCATGTGTGAGACACAGGGAGAGAGAGAGAGAGGGAGAGAGAGAGAGAGAGAGAGAGAGAGAGAGAGAGAGAGAGAAAGAGAAAGATAACATCGGCATTAGCATCTTCACCTCACTGCTGTCATATCAGGCTGTGACCTCAAGTGTGAGAGTGAAGCAGTTGGGATGACAGTAAGTCCGAGGCCTGAAACAGTTTTTTGTTCAAGTATCTCTTGGTGTTGGTTAAGAATGAGGGTAAGCTGGAGCATGTGATAAACAGGTGAACTGGTGTAGTGTTGGCAGTGATGAGGGTGTTGTACTGGACTGTTGTGATGGAAATCTCTTGATTGACCAGATAATCTTTGTTCTAACCATCACCTGTGGCGATCTTTGCAGCCCTGTCCGCTAAAAATGTACAATAGGAAATATGCTTTGCTGTGTCCGTCCCAATTGTTTTTATCATCATAACGAGGAAACATTTACATTAAACGTGCGTGTAAACCTTTCACTGTCACCAGTTTCATTATCCCTCCTGGCAACTACAGCATGACATTTATAACTTTAGGCAATTGGTAGAAGCAATAATTCAATATTTTGGTTTTCTTCACTTTCTGACAGTCAATACAGCTCTCATATGTGTCTGTTACAGCATACAGTACACTACAATATGAAGCTGCAGTCCCTTAGCTTAGGCTAGCTCTTTCCTGTCTTTGTGCTAATTTGGATTTGTCCAAAGGGAATAAACTCTGCCTACCACCTCCTCTAAAGCTCACTAATTTAAGTGTGGAATTTTAACTTATAAACAGGGCTGTATGATATGGTAAAAACATCACAATGTGACTATTTTGACAGATATTGTGATTGCAATGTGTGGGATTATCCTTTTTGCATCACAAATTTAATTTTGACTTTTTTTTCGGTGGTCAGAACTCCAGTACTTCATTATAATGCTGTTTGTCACGCATTTTACATTTATCAAAAAATTGCAGCTTTGGATATTGCACTTGGCCATATTGCGATTTTGATGTTCTTTCAATTAATTGTGCAGCCCTACATAGAAATGAACACCCATTCCTTTCAAGCCCTTGGTAACAGGGTTCACACAGTGCTGATTAAACACACCTATCATGAAGTTTTTAAATCTGGTATCTGTGGCGACTTTCCTGTGGCTCCTGCATTTGCAAAGCCAGTATTCAAACCAAATTAGGTGCACCTAAATTACCTACCAGTGAAAGAGGCCCAGCACATCCTGAGAGTGATGGTGGATTAGCTTGTCAGTCCCTGGCAACAAGCTAAAACTTCCATATCTCATAGTTCATCTGTTCTATAGAATCGGATTATTCTCCAACTCCATCCTGTAATAAATTCCAGGACAAACCATCAAACCGCCCAGCCCGCAGGCTGTCCGTTCCCTGGAGCTAACGGCAACACACTGACCGAACTATGGGAGGTAACTGGAGTTGTCGGAGAATCACTGAGCTTGTCTATTTGATGCAAAAGGCGTCACCTAGGTTTATTTTCATTGGCCAAAAGTTGTATGTCTCAAACTAAGTATTTTGGTTTGCTGCCAATCTAAGATCTAAGATAAGGACTCATTTATTGTTACTTGAATTGAGCACTGATTGTATAATACACTGTAGTGGAATGTGTATGTTTTGTGTAATTACTCTCCCTGCCAGAGAGGGAGACAAAAGTTCTGCACTACAGGTTTAACATGTTGTATCTTGTTTGTTTAATCCATACAAATTATGTGTAAAAACAATGTTTGTTGGACTCTTGGCTCTGAGCAGCTGCCAGGCAAGTGGAGACACTCAAAAAAGTAGCCTTAACCTACTGAGACATGGGGTGTGGAATGTGAGCAGTGGGATTACACTTTGTATGAAGAACCATCCAACCCGCCCTCCTCCCTATGACTTCTGTGTACCATGCAAAACTTATTGGAATGGACAAATCTTGCATGTAATCCAGGCAGCACATCTGTTTCTTCCAAAACTTCTTTGCAAAGAAAATGAGTTGTATATAAAACATATTTTGGAGGAGACAGGGTTGGATTTTAGGTGCAAAGACTGAGACTGATCTCAGACACAAGCAGCCTTCCACAGGGTGTCAGGGCTCACTGTTTTAGCACTCTGTCATCAAAGGTAAATCCTGGCCTGTTGGGTACTTTAGCGGCACTGTTTCTCACCTCACTCGACCCTCCTGAGTCTGTTCAGACTTGAAGCAGAGATGTTTGTGCAATCAGACCTGGAGCTCCACAGCTTGGCTGCTTGTCCAGGATGTGAGCATCAGTATGTAGTGTGTCATTGTTTTTGTATGTTTACATTATGCCAGGTATGTTAATGCATATGCTCATGGGTTTCTGTTTATATATCAGTGCGTGTTTGTGTTGTAACAGCAAGACGGACCTATTGCTGTGTCAGTAAAGTGTAATTTGTGTTGACACAAAACAGAAAATGCTTCACTTAGTGTCAGTGAAGTTGATCCTCCTGGCAGTGTTAATGCTCTATTTATTCATCCAAGCAAGAGCAGGCACACCTGTGTGTTTACATAGCTACAGTAGAGACTGTCTGTCATTTGTGAATAAGAAGGCAATTTGTCTGTAGTACTCGTACTACATATTGACAATGTTCTGCATTAGGAGCTCTTTTAGTCATTTTCTTGCCGTATCTAGCAATCAACAAACTCGTGTTGTGCCGCCAAGCTTTGTTGAAACCTAAATCAGTTATTTTCTGCAATGCTTTTTATTCTTAGTATTATTTTGAAATGGGTTTAAGAATCAAAAGCTTACATACACATTTACACTCATTTGCCAGTTTGCATACACCTAGCTAAAACTAATGCAGTGTAATACAAGAATCCTGCAATTTATCCTACCTTCATGAAGGTTATTATGTTCCATTTCAAACTGCTTTAGAGAGCTACTGATTCACCTTAAAGAGTAACTAAAGCCCCAAACCACTTTTCAGGTCCAAATCTTGACCTATCTCCATATTGTGTTATAAACCTTGTTGAAACCGGGTTATTGCAATTGAATTTCATTTTTGGCTGATCTGGAGGTAAGTGGGGTCACCGACCAATGTCTTGCTTCTTATTTCACCACCAATGGTTAGAGCAGCCGCACTGCCCGTGCTAGACAGCTCATTCTCAAGTAAACAAAACGATTCTTATTTTTAGGTGATTATACAAAACACACATTTTATATTCAGTTTTTGCCAGTAGATCCTCCTAAATGTCACAGACTGGAGCTTTAAGTCGAGGACTAACTAATACAGTGGCAAACGTAACATGATATTGGGTAACATTGGCTTGGATTGCTGGTGCGTAAACTTAGGTGAGAGTTTCGCAAACATTTAATGAACATTTAAAAAACATTTTAATGGTTTTAAACCAAACCTGAGCAAGTGTTTTCCTGCTAATGCCTTCTTTTTGTGTCCTCCATGTAATTCTCTCCCTCTCTCTCTCCAGGTGGCAAAGGTAGAGTATGTGCGGCGGCGGACGAAGCTGAGGGAGGTACAGGTGAGGCTGGAGGATCACCTGGAGTGCATGTGCACCAACAAACGCCACATCAACCCAAACTCAGACACAGACAATGGTAAGCATACAGCTGTGTGTGTGTGTGTGTGTGTGTGTGTGTGTGTGTGTGTGTGTGTGTGTGTGTGTGTGTGTGCTTATGTATTGGCTCATTTCTCATGTGAAGGCTGCTCCTGTCTGAATGTGTCTACTGACACCAACAGAGCTGATAAGAGATCTGAGGTATTTACAGTGTTTTTCCTATCTGCCTGAATTAGTCCTCCCTCAGGGCAACCCCCCCCCCACATACATACTCACACACACACACTCACAAACCCCACTCCCTATTATCCAAATCTCCTTCCTGAACCAGAGCCAACTACAGCAAAACTGATAAAAAATGTTTTTTTCCAGTTCCAACGTGTATTAAAACCAAGCTGAACAGAGATGGATTCATAAAATATATTGTTCATGTGTGGGGGGTGCATGATCTGTATCAGAAAAATCACAAGTTTGACCCCGAGGTCAACCATTTGTCCATCAACCTGCAGCTTTGCATTTGTGACATTAAATACAAACCTGTCCACTCACTGGGAGTCACTGTAAACTAAAAGCACAAAACTGTAAAATCCATTAATAGTAATGATAACACTTTTTTACATTAAAATCTACTGTAAAATACTTGATTAATGTCAGTGGGCCAGTTTATATTACACTGGAGGGTTTGCAGTTAAACCAGCCTGTAATCAAAAGGTCAAAGGATCAATCCCTGCAGCAGTCATGTGACTTCCTGCTGACCTCCTGCAAGTCACATTGTCATCATCTGAATGTAAAATTATGAATTTAGGCCCTTTCGAACATGTACCAGGTACATACGGATGTGAAAACAGACATTTGTATGTGCATCTCAAGTCTGACTAACTTTCACATAAAAATAAATACAGCAGTCTAACTGGGTTGGACCTATTAACATTAACTTATCACTTTCAACACGACACAAGCATGAACTGAATTCCCTCAGGCTACAGCAGCACATGGTAATACAGAGAGAGATTAAATGCACGTGTGCTGTTCTGCCTTTAAAGAACACTGTAATAAATATATCACTTTACTATTATCTCATATGCACAAAGAAAAGAAAATCAGTAATCAAATACAAAACACTGACTGAGCCAGTGTTAAATCAGATGTACAATAATTATCACCCCAACACTTCCCAACTTTGATTTTCATCCATACCAAATGCATGACATTGTGAATAGTATGCATTACATACAGCACATGAGCAAATATAAACATACCAACTTGCTGAAAGAAGAAAGAAAGGACAATACAACGATAATATCTGTTTTATATCAGCCTTAATTTCCCCCTGGTTTCATAACTAATAACAGTTACAGTTCAGTGAATATGTGCTGAATATGTTTTTTTCTGGGGATGGGCTGGGTTAAAATAATATACATTTAAGGGTGAGTTTCCTCATCTTTACTCTTCTCCCAACAGGCATCAGGTGAAGAGAGATGGACAGATGGAGGAGAGGAAGAGGAGGACAAGGATGAGCACCTTCAGCCTCTAACATCTCCACCTCCACCAACTCCTGTCATCAAGTGACTGAAAGGTTTGATGGAGTTTATTTTGACCAGTGACCTTTGGGACATTTAATGGAGGATAACTGACTCATATGGACCTCAGCTTTACTTTGAAAGATACGTACAAAAACTGCGAGCAACAAACCGCCAGACACAAAACGAACAAACGGCCTGATGGTTTCCTCGCCGTGATTCCTCGATGGAGAAAAGAAGCGATTAGGTGATGAAAGTGCAGAACATTGGCAGAGGGATCGAAGGACTTATCCTCTGCGTCTTGTTCCCTCTCCAGACTATAAACCGTTCAGCGTCTCGGATTATGAACTGGGTGGAATCCTTTCTAGAAACAGAGACTGGGATTAGGTTTTTGTACTCCAAGATTTACTCTTCCTCAGCAGAACACACACATGCACGTATATCCACTTATTTTTATAACCTCTCATTTTCTATCACTGTTTCTACTTCTGGTATGTTATCCACATTAAGAATGGAGAGAAAAAAATCCTCCTGACATGTTACTGATACTAATAAACTATTTATATGAAAAGAAAGTGAGCGTGGTGATCAGAAAACAGCTTTTAGAGAAACAGGTTTTTTACAGAATGCTTGTCAGAGTGACTGAAGGCCTGAAAGCGGAACCGAACATGCTTCCGTGTGTGAGAAAGAGATTATCTGGAGGATCATAATACTAAAGCTAAAACCCCCGTGAATTTGTAACTGAGAGTAGCACACATATAAAACGCTGCTAATGGAGAGAATGCAGATAGACACGAAACGTATGCTGTGGAATAACTAACAGGAGATTTTTTTCAGTGTTGGTACAGAGCAACTTTTATTATTTCAAGCTCAAGTTGAGAAAATTAACTCTGTAAAGAGGAAGGTAAATGTTTTCAGCAGTGACCCTTATCCTGTGACTCGCAAACTCTGGACGACGTGGAGGAGGAGGTGATCTCATAACAAAACACCACACATCCGTCAGCTGCTCGGCCATTATCATGAGTGTTTATGTGTGTGATTAGGAACGCTTTATATCCCTCTGTTTCTCCCTCACTTTTCACAAAAAACACATATGCACATCCATTTACCCCCTTCACCCTGGGCAAAAATCACATGTAATGGTGCACAATAGATTGGTATAAGTATTGCTTAAATAGTTCCTGTAATTTGTCACAACTGTGACAAGTTCCTAGAAATTATGAGCCATGGTTGCAGCACTGCTGTATGGAGTCTGATAGTCAGTTCACCATTTTGGTCCAGGATTAAATATGTGAACAAATATTGCCATAAACTTCTGTACAGAAATGCGTCTGTGCCCAGAAAATAATCTGACATTGGTGATCCCCTGACGTTTCCGCTAGCACCACCCTGAGGTTGACTATCTTCTGATTTTTCATCTAGCGCCATCATCAGGTCAACATTTAAAAGGTCCAATACTGTGGTTTATGACCAAATACCTATAAAACAAATTAGATTCCCATCAGTTAGCTGTTCTTTGTGTTTAGTGCTAATTAGAAAAGATTTGCATGCTAAGATGCTAAACTAAGATTGGTGAAATTGAAAAACATCATATCTGCTGAACATCATCATGTTAGCATTGCCATTGTGAGCATGTTAAAAACAATACATCTGCAAGAAAAATCTGAAATGTTCCATCAATGCAGAGTTTAAGATTTTGCAAGAACGTTTTGCAATCCCGTGACCATCAACCTTATTCTGTCGTCTCAAGATATTGCAAATGGAACTGGTGTCATCACCATTCAGATGCAAGTAAATACTCCAACATAAACTGTGGCTACATGTTTACACAGGAACCATTAGTTCTTTGTTTCATTTTGCAATGCGAAAATATGTAACAACTACTTGTGTGGGAAAAGCAGCCAATTAGTAAACTGCAAAATAAAGAGAAGACTGTAGGGTTTGTTTTTTTGGTGGTGAAGACATGATGTTTTTTCTTCCGTCGTCCAAGCCTGAAGCCATGGAGCCGAGCTTCGTACCCATGAGGGCTGTTCCAACCCCCGCTGGCATCCCACAAACCTGCTGTTACGACCAGTATGCTGCGGTTCCACACAGCCGCCTCAAATAGCTCTTTATGTTTTAGACGTTAAATACTTATTAAGACATGCTTCAACAGCTGACTGCATTTACAACAAACAGAGGACAAAACAAATGTTTGTTGGTTGTGGGGGTGAGAAGCAGACGAGGCAGACAGTCGGGTGACTTCATGCGGGCTTGAGGTTGCTTTGCGTAACTCACTTTGCTGGCATATTGCTCTTGGAGGAGCTGGTGTAAACCATGTGTAGACATTGGCCAACACTGTAACCAGAGTGGTTAGTGTAAATACATAAAATTCGTAATTGAGTGGTTCTATTTGCGCTGCACAAAGACGACACTGTGCATAAAGACTTAAAAAAAAAAAAAAAATTGGTTTTTGGTTCCAATCTGTCAAATCTGCTGCAGGGAGATACATGCTGCAGTTTCATCAGCTACACATTCAACACGTAAACATATAAAAGAGAAAATATTGTGGATGTAAGGCAGTGAAAACCAGTTGTTTTTGTTAGAGGAAACAAAGAGAAAGAAGAGACAGATGGGGATAAGACTGTGTGTGTAACAGGGTCTGAAAGGTGAGAGGGAGGAAATGAAAACAGACAGGATGGAGCACAGTGAGATTGTGTGTGTGTGTGTGTGTGTGTGTGTGTTTGTGTGACAGTGAAAGTGTGTGTGAGAAAGGATGAAAGTGGGTTTCTGTGTGTGAAACAGAGAGAGAAACTCCATCTCTCTAAAGCTCAGTTAAGCAGATTAACAACATGCTAGCTAAAATGCTGAACGCTCCACAGGTCAAATACAACCTGATATAAGCTGACGGAAGTTGGACTTGCTCCCTTCAGCTACAGATCTCAGATCAGATTACCAAACCTCAGTATTTCTACACTTTGCCATAATGAAGCTGAAAGTATATCTGATTCTGGGTCAGCGGGTTTTTCTGGATAAACACCTCCAGGTTCCTGCTGGAGATTAGTAGACTCTGAGCTTGCATCCAGTAGGTTGCAACATGTCCTCCTCAGAATGAACTCCTCTTGTACCATCATCAGGTCTAAATTTCAGTCTGTCCAGTACTTTGTTTTATACCAAATACCTGATGTCCACCCAGCCTAAGCATTACTTTGTGTTTTGTCTTAATTAGGGTTAGCACGCATGGTGAACGTAAGAAACAGCCACAGGTAAACATACCTGTCTAACAGCAGCATGTTAATAATTGTCATTGTGAGCCTGTTAACATGCTGAGCATATAGATTAAAGCCTAAGCAAATTCTCACAGATCTGCTAGCATGACTGTAGACCCTTAGTTTTGGTGGAAGTTATTTAATACTAATAACAGTCAACAATGTATTATGTGACTATTGTGGGGTGACCATACCTGTACCCTTAAATGTACCACACATGGATGTTTTCATCAGGATTGGGGGCAACTATATCAGCACTTAGGACACCTACGGAGGGCACCTTTAACAACATGGACGCCATGAACACATCATTTTCATTGTCGGCATGACACACGTTATGTTAAGTTTGTTATGTGTGGGTTGGGTTTGCTATTAAATGAAGAAGAAAAAGTTTGGGTTTTTTTTTTCCACTCCTTTGCTGACTTCTGATGATGTGTGCAAGTTATTTTATCATGACCACTCATCTCTGTCAATGAGCAAGGGGAAGTGTTCAGGAATCTTCATCCTATTGGCAGTTGATGAGTGATATTTGAAATTAAGGTCAATGTTGCTGTATAACATCATTATCAACTCAGTGTCTTCTCATCCTCCTACTGTCTTTCTTTGCTGCAGCGATGTCAAACTCAGTCTTGATTAAAAGTAAACAGTCTTTTTTATCTCTTCTCCTCCCTGATCTCCTCCTTTGCTTTCTATCACACAGAGCTGCTTTATGAACACTCATCTTACCAGATAAACATGTCCACCTCCCACCATCAGGCTTGTTCCCACCATTGGATACAGGGACCGAGAACGCTGAGGTTTGGCATCACTGGATGAAGATTTACTGCTTTGTGGTTGAGCCTGATGTTTTGGTGCTGGATCCTGGGTAGAGGTTAGATTTATTTCCAGTGAATGTGAACAATTGCTGACCAAAATTAAAAGTTTTTGATTCAGAGAGAGAGAGGTAAAAGTCAGTTCTGAATCACCATGTTTCAGACCTGCTATCCCATGATGCTAATTTTTATCCATATCCAGTGGTGGAAGAAGTACTCTTCTAGATCTTTTAGTAAAAGTAGCAAAACAACAGTGTATAATACTCCAAGTTGCCCAATACTAAAAGTATTTTACTTAAGTAAACCAAAATATTATCAACAAAAGGTATTAAAAGTATCCAAAGTAAAAGCCTGTTATTGATGCATTACTATGTTTCGCAATTTAATGTTGCAGCTGGCTAATTAACTTATTTATATATTGCTGGTTAGCAATAATAATACCTCATAATTTATTTGTCGATTATATTTAGATTAATCTTAATCTGCAAAGTGACTAGTAACTAAAGTAGTTTGACTGTAGTGCAGTCAAAAGTACTATAATTAATCAAATTAAACAAATATTTCCTTCTGAAATGAAGTGTATAATTATAAGGTAGCAGAAAATATTACACAAGTACCTTCAAATTTGACTTAGGTACAGTACTTGAGTAAATGTACTCAGTTACTTTCCACCATGGCAGCTGGTGCCCACATGTTTCTGATGAAGACCAGCTCTCTCTGAGTCACTTCAGTTAACAGTCTTATTATATTTTCTTGTCACCCTCCAGGTTTAGACTCTGCTTCTTTATGCAGCAGGGTATTACAGTACGTTCTTGTTGTAATGGAGCATAACAAATCCATTTCTACACGTTGGTCAAAGCCATTTCCTCTCTCTGTCTTTCTCCCGCTTCTTGTTTTCGTCCTCAAGGGCTTTCAGGTAAACCAGCTGCCAGTGCCAGGCTCTTCTCAGAATATGCACACAAAGCCACATACGCACACACACACACCTTCTTTACTGTACTGTTCAGATGATAAGCAGACATTTATTAAACGCAAGAAGCAGCTTAATTGTAGGCTGCAATAGCTTACCAGAAACCTTCAAGCTTACAAAAGTGTGCAAGAGTGTGTGTTGGGGTCATAGTCTTATTGGCAAACTCCTAAAAAGATACTAATAGAAGGGTTCATATAAAGAGCAACCTTTTTGATTTCAATGCCTAAGCTTGAAATTTTGATCTTAACCATGTGTTTAAATTTCTGGGGTTTGTTTTGACAACAGTTTTTATTTAACTTGTTTTAATGCATGAGCTATGAGCCTAATTTTAGCATTCATTAGCCTAGTTTAATATGAATTTATGAAGGTATTTTTAGGCAATTGTAATGTGTGCTGCAATATGACTAACCAGATGGGACAACGTGGTGAATAACAGTGCAGTGGAGAGGCAGACAGAAGCTGTCAGCTTGGAGCTGAACAATTACAACATGAGTTCCCAAGCAACAAATGCAGGTTTAACAACCACTGCAATAGATCCACTTCGT